GAGTCAAATTGATAGTTTGTTCTTATTAGAAACTTATTGAAATCATTGGTAACTAAAATGATTCTATTTTGATGTTTCCTAATAATTATTAGTGATCTTGTCAAATATATTTTAATAAAAAAATTCAGCTGATCAGTCACTCTATTGTAATTTAACTACCCACAATGAACAATAAAAGATTTCAAAGAATTTTAGATCTGATGTCATATTGTAAGTTGTGAACGTTTGATGTCATATAATTAGAGCAGAACTATAAGCAGTTGAAATTTAGACATGACACTGTGAATAGTTATATCTCAATGTTCCTTTTTATAAACTTAAAATGAATAAGAACATAAAGAGAATGCTATCGTGATAACGAAATTCTGTTAGCTAATTTGATTAAACCCATATTTTTAGTATGGGTTTGTGGAGATGGTTAAATATTTTTGAAACAATGAATCGATTAATGTTAGATCATTTTGGAAAACCAAGGGGCACTGGACCATTATTTCGTTCTATTATGGAACTCCTCGATCTATAGGTTAAGTGTTCATACGGGACAGAAGGTCTCGGGTTTGACTCCTGCGTGTGGGATAGTAGATACGCACTGCTAACGAACTTCATTCCAGGACGAAAGAACCATCCAGTATTACGAAGTATTGAATGGTGGTCTAACACTGATAGGTTTATGATATCAAAGAGAACCATATTAGTTAATATCATTTTTTTTAATGTTCATTTGACGTTAGCTGAAAAGCAATGTATTAATTGCTAAGAATGATGAAAATACCAAAGTCTATTTTTTACCCCTAACAAAAAATATATTTCAAATACTTCAGTTACCATCCTTTCGGTAGTTTCGTTTTGTTTTAAAACATATAGATTTGCAACCTAATTAGCTAAACTAAATGATTGTATTCATATTTCTATTCAGTTTCTTTATGTGATGCTTTTTAGAATAATAAGCCGAAGTATTCAATTTATTCATTTATCTTTGTCCTAGTAATTAGGTTCTTCAGTATAAACAAAAATGAATAAGAAATTAGAAATATATTTTGCACATTTTCGAAAGTGTTCTACTTCAGGTAACATGTATGAATAAAATAGTCAATATCGAGGTAATACATACAGTATTCACATGTCAATAAGAAACTGATCAATTACAATGCTAAACATCAATGGTAAGATTCAAGTAAACAACACCAAGTGAATTAGTCAAAAGACTAGATAAATTTATTTATTATTCAAGATTCTTGAAAAAAACTTTCTGGTTAAAATTTATGTTTTGTATCATAACAATTTAATTTAGCGTGTTCAATAAATGTAACATACTTAACTGTGACCAATTTTAAATATTCATATAACATATGCATATAATGTAATTAAACACTTAAGTAATTACAATAAAGTCAGTGAATGGATCCTACCATTAAGATGAAGTATAAAGATTTAGACTGTTTCTTACAGAGTACAATGAACTGTATAATGTCAGATGAATACTGTAGGTAGTGTAAGTTCGTGTTATTTTTTAGATTTTCAAATAATATACAAGTAATTCATTTTTGTATTGGTTGTTTGAATCTTCCCAGAGATTTTTAGGACTACGATTGATCAATCTCATATTGACATATGTTCATCATAAATGGGTTGCATTGACATTGCCTGAAATCATAAGCATCATAGGCAAAGATAGACAGTGGCTAACAGTGAAATTCAAGGAGTGCGTTTCGACCTACCTGAGACTCATCAGCTTGATGTACTTGCATTACACAGTTAATGTTCACTCCAAAACTCTAATCCTGTAAAGTCCGCTTCAAATGCCATCACGTTATCCACCTGATTACTAAGTCCAAATATCCAAGATGTAAATGCATAATGCGATGGAGTTTGAAGTGGATGGTACAGGGTTCGATTCATGGAGTGAACATCAATTGTGTGATACAAGCACATCAAGTTGAAGAGTCCAAAGTAGGATGAAACGAGCGTCCCGTGTACCACTGCTAGCTACAATCCATCTACGCTTATAATGAACTAATAAGAAACGTAACTGTATAGTATTTTCAAAAAAATGTTTTATATAGGAATATTTCTTCATTAACTGTTGATTATGCTCTAAAACTATTCGAAATTTGGAACTTTTTCAATTAAATAAAGGTTCAGAAGGTATTATTATCTTTATTTACAATAACTCTTCGAATAATCCTCTAAAACAGCTCTTATTTCAACAAACAGCACCTCAATGTATTTTAAGCACAAGAGAAGTTTAGATTTTGTTTATTCTAATATTTTAATACTTAATCAGATGATGAAAAATACTGTCTGAAGATTATCTTAACATTAATAGAATGCTTTAAATTACATAATTGTTTAATTTTCAACTACATATTTCGGTGCATACATCTTTCTATGAAAGCGTTACACCTATATATATATATATATGTATATGTATATACTCCGGTAATGAACGAAATGACACGCCTATAATAATTAAGTAGTATCAGTGATTTATTGATTTACAAGAAATAATTTATCATTTAATCAGTATAGATGCATGTTTCTTTATTAGACGATGTATATGTTCGTGTACGTGTGTGTGTATGTATGTATGTATGTTATACATTAACACTTAAACCACGCTCTTTTTAACTATCATACAAAAATAATTTTAAAGGAAATCGTTACCAAGTAACATGATAAAATATAAGAAAACATTTTATTTAAATAGAATTGATTATAGACATATTTTTTTGTTGTTGTTTTGTTTAAACAGATATATCTTTGCCCACATTACCGACTAGATTTGTATTGTAATGGTTTATATAATTGTTAGTCAGAAAACGACACTTCATAGTATAGATATACATATACATAAGTTTTTTTTGTTCTTTTTCTGGGGGAAAAATAAGGATTTTTATTTAATTTTAAACACGAAACTAATTTATTCCCTTTTTCATGTGACTCCAATTGAAATAACTGATTATAAATAAAACTATATATATATATATATATATATATATATATATATATATATTCGAAAAGGAAATCGCTGTTATTCTTTATGTATACTACTGATCTTTTATTCATTTCTTTTATCATAGTCAAATGATTTTTTCTTAGAAAGAAAGAATAACTTTGAATTAATATTTCTTATTATACATATCAGTATTAAACGAATAACAAGTTGTATGTTCCTATTTGTCATTTCACATTAGAAGAGCATTTTTGCTGAAGTTTACGTCAAAAAGTTCTTTTCATGTTTACCGTATCTGAAACTATGACTGCATCATAATCATATCATAAGATGAAATTAAACTTTCCTGTTTTAACATTCATAATAATAAAATGGTAAATGTTTTAAAATAATAAATATTAGCTAATCTATCATATCAACAGGTGAGATCATGAGTCAATTGAAGTAAGACCACCATGGAAAACTTGGGAGTACTAGACAGCCATTTCGTTTTAGTATGGGACTGTCCAGCAGTGAGCATCCACGACCTTCACCCCCCGCGGGATTCAAACCCAGAACCTATCAAATCTATTCTTTAATAATCTATGAGATCATTATCTTTCTTACCATGTTGCATTCAAATCATTTTCATAAAGTGTTTATTTTTGAATGAAAAATGATTCAATCTATTCTAATTTGTTTTAATTACTTTAATAAATTAGGTAATAACATACGTGGATAACATTCATTCTTCTTTCAATTTTATCAAAATATATATGAAAATATTTCAATTGAAGCTATTGTCCAGCTTTAATAACATTATTGATAGTAATTAGTTTAGTGTATAAGCTAAATCACAGAAGCTTTTCCTGTAAAATTACATTTATCACGTTATAACTAATCAGTGAAGTTTTTTAATATGAACATCATTTTAAGTCCCTTTACTATAATTACATCAATTTTACGAACAATCTCTAGTTTTGTTAATATTTACTCTAATTATCAGTAGTCAGGGTAAACTATTTCGGATTCTTAAATGTGAATTCATAAAATGTCTGCTACAGATATTCAGTCAAAGCGACTCATAACGATTACTTTGAATATTTAACTTTGGAAGACTGATGTTTATTTTATTTATAAAAAAATATTAATAAAAATTAATATAAATGATTATTTCATTTGAATACGAATATTAATCAATAATTCAAGGAATAATTCAACGGAGATTCGACGCCGAGTATAGAGAAGACATTATTTGTAAAAAATAAAATTATATTTGAAATAATCCAAGTGTTTGAAATTGAAATTAATTCCTATGGTTCGTTCAGCAAACTTGTCAAATTTCAGACAGTTTTCCTGTACAGAGTGTTGAAATTATTTAACTTTGAGTTAGTAAGATTATTTTATATTCGTATACAATAAAATACGATTTATTAGAAGAATTAAGAAATAAATCAAATAGTTGAATGATACTGTCTATACTATACTTTCATTTCATTTCGTTTATGAATAAGCTAAATGATAAATTAGAATCAGTAACTGAAACACTAAAATTTTAACTTAAAGATATGTTGTATTGTCATAGTTAGAAATTTTCATTTTCTAGAAGAAATGACATCAGTTGAATTTTTTTTCTCAAAAGAGATTTATTTCCTTCAATTATTGTCATCCCTATTGTTTGTTCCACAAGTAAGCGATATATATATATATATATATATATATATATATATTGAGGAGTAAATTAACAAATCTATAGGATACTATATTAAATGAGAACTGTATGAATTATTGTGATCATTTTAAAGAAATTAAACGTTGGATCAATTGTGTGTGATAAAAAAGAAACAAAAAAAATACTTTGGATATTCTGATTAGTGGAAAAGGCGATCTTCTTATAAATGACAACTAACATCAAAGACAATATCGACAAAAGAATTCATTGAAAGTTTATTGTTTAAAAAAAGAACACTATTACATTATGTTATTATTTGCGTATAGGATTTGTCCCCGGCTGATAATATATTTAAAGAAAAATCAATGAAGTCATAATACAAGATGAATAACTTACTAATAGAAAACTTAGATTGTCAAATCGTTGAGTAACTTCTTTTTTATAAGACATTTGATTCTTCAAATGATTTAGATCTTCACTGAAAAGATGAGCACCTTTAGCATTTATATTCACCAATCGTATATGTTCTAAAATAAAAAAATTATAGGAGAGAAATAATTACGCAATGGTAAGGTAAAAGGTTTATGTTAAGGTATTAATTCAGTTAATTGAAAAAAAGGATATACATATCTACAAAACAATTGTTTTTTTAGTATGAGGGTTTGCAAAGATTGTAGTACTTTAACAGTTCACGAGTCCATTTAAGCTCGACCTGTGTTCGGGATCGTGGATCCGCATTGCTGAGGAGTTCCATACTATGATGAAAAGATCGTCCAATACTTCCAGGTTTTCAGTGGTGGTCTAGCTTAGATCAACTCTTGAGTTCATTTGTTCTTTTCACAGTTAAAACGACTTGTTCCAATGTGAAAATGAAATAGTTTAATCGTTTATATTATTATCTGTTACAAACATGTACGAATACCATTGAACTTAAAAAAATCGAATACAAAATAGGTTTATTACTAAATAACACTGAATTAGATCAAATTTACCAGTGACTAACACATCCACGATAATGATACAAAGTGAAAAAATTCAAAACACCAGGCTATATCTATCATCTATAAATCAGTGGAAGTAAAATCTTCAAATAAAGTGGAATTGTTATGGTGACTACATGTAAAGTTATTTTTAAATATTTTTCTGAGGTTCACTTTTCGAATCTTTTTCCTTAAAGTGAACAAACATGTCAATACGTATTGATACCGAAGGACATGAACTCTTCTCTCGTAATCTAATAGGGACTATGAACTCTCGATTTTTTTATATACTTGTGTAGCAGCATATAAACACTGAGACGTCGATGTGTTTAATAATAAAATACAGAAATAAGGTTCATGGAAGACAAGACGACTTATTATGATAACTATAGCAGTCGGTAAGCATTATTAAAATTTAAAATTTACATCACAGGCCGATCTTAGTTTGAAAGTTATTGAAAAGGATGAAGCATTGAACAAGGATTTTATTTAAATACAGAACTCCCTATCAGTGTTGATCCATGACCCCAATAGGGATCAAACCTATGACTTTCAACTGTGTCGAGGAGTCTGACCTATCACTTTATTTATCTAAAACTGTAAAGTTAAAAAACAGAACCGTTGGCAAGATAAAAATTGCTCTAGATAAAAGTGAATTATATAAATATTTTTACACATCCATTAGCCTTTAGCACATCTAAAACAATGTTGTCGTTTTTCAAGTGTAATATGAGAATGAACTATTCCTTAGTTAAAATAAAATGAATAATCAGACTGCTTTAATTAATAGTATACCACTTGAATGGAATGAAATTTGGTTGCCATAATGTTTTGTAATCATGAATTGTGGGAGTTAAAATAAAGTTTTGGAACATGAATACCAACAATTTCCATTTTTGCATTCCTCAGCGTATCAGTTTAAATTTTGTAACATAGTTTTTAAATTGCACAGAACCATGTTCACTTTGTATGAGTAAAACTGAAAAAAAACATTAGATCAATTAGAAAAATAGTTACTAGGGGAAATTTATAGAAATTTTCTAATTTCATAGTTTACATCAATTGTTGAACTGAATTACATAATCACTGAAAATTGGGACGTTTTAAACATTGGTGTCATCATATTATACAACTCCTAAGCATTAAACAGCTATGATTTTAAAGAATATCAAACTGATCATCTACCAGTTACTAAAAGTTGGCATTGAATACCTTCTCAAAATCGATAATCACTTAAATATTTACGTTGAAGTTCAATACTCTAATTGTAAACTAATCCACAAATACTCAATATGAACTTTGTTTTAGGTAAATTTTTAATCATTTTAAAGATTAGATTCCTTGATGATTAATATTTGATAACAAAATAGAAAGCTGCATAAGCTAATAGTGAGATATTGATTTTTCTAATAATCATTTTATATTTTCCTTTTTTATTTTATTTTTTAGATTTTTCTTTTTTTGTAAAAAAAATAAATGATTGGAAAGAACAATAAATAACAAGGGGTAATTAATTATTTATTTAATTAGTAATTAAAAACGAAATAAATCATAATAACAACAATTATGATCTACAATTAAAAAAATGTTATTTTTAATATTTATAAATGCATAGATACAAGATAAGGAGGTAGGGTGGAAAGATTATAACATTTAACTAACCAAATAGTATATTCTATTCTTAACAAATACACATAATAACACATAAATAGACATGACGACTATCAACCAATATACATGCAGTTAATTGATTGACTTTTATTGAATTAGATTCAATTAGTAAGTATTGATTTATTAATTAAGATGAATCAATAATTGTAATTAAATTTTTATCAATCATGATAATTAAATGAAATAAATTTTTTTTTATTTATTAGAAATAAAATTGATTATAGACTGATATACGCTATCAGGTTATATTTTCCATTAATATAATATCTGAGAAGAGAATTATTATCATGTTGAATAACTATATGGAAGTAAAGTGAACAAGGATACGAGTGGGAACAATCGAATGAACTTGAGCACAGACTTACAGAGCATCTCAATATAATCTAAGAATCATATAGTAAATTATTCATTTGCAAAATATCAGTCCATCATCTCAAAATTGACTGTTCCTGTTGCAAACATGAATCCATCGTCTCAGATTTCATTGTTCATGCATTTTCAAAGCAATCGCGTTCCTTTCCCGTTCTTTTCTCATCGATCTCCTACTGAAATACATTCTATGCCTGACCACCATTATATACTACTTGTGCGGATATAAGTAACCCACACGACAAAAGTACTATTAATATTTACTGACAAAAAATTAAGCTAATATTTTACTTCTGAATAGAGCTACAAGATTTTGAATTATTAAGTATAAAATCTAGATTACTACAATAATCAAAAGTAATTCATTTGAATATGGGTTAATCTTGAAATACTTTTCATCAAAATAGGTTATTTATTTTGTCGTTTTTCGATTCAAGAGTAATTGTGTTGTGATTCTTTGTGCGTTTCATAATTAGTTTGTGGGTATCAGTCGAGTGGATGATTATCCCATTCTCTAACACCCGGGTTACTACTGACATCAATTCATGTGACTGAGTCCCACTATTCAGGAGGCAAGACGAGGATGTGTGAGTCGGGTTTATATATTATCAATGGAAAAAATTCTGTTATACTCAAATCTTACTTGAAAGTTATACTGTAGTTAAACTGTTTAATAGTCAAATGTAGGATCAACTGTTTTGTTAAAAACTAAAAACAATACTCTTGTAAAATAAAATTATTTCATCATCTTGTTTTAATACCAGAAAGTTAATAAAATTGTACTTATGAAAATTAGATAGTTATTTTACTAGAAATGACTACAGTTTTCTGTTTTCTAAACTTCCTGTCTCCAGTTGTTATATCCATATGTCTTGTTACTTAGACTTGAAATAAGGAACTAATGCAATTTCCATGACAATGATCCTATACACAAATACATTAATTTATATAATGATTTGTGCACGCTTGATTATTAATCGATAAAAAAGGTACACGAAATTATTGCAGAATTACACTTTACATGTCATCCTGACCATAGTTCAGGTTAATTTAATACAAGAATTTCAATTGTTGAGATCATAAGTCATTTGAAGCTAGACCATAATGGAAAGCCTGAAATATTTGGACGGCCATTTTGTTCTATTGTGGGACTCCTCAGCAGTGCGCATCAACGACCCCGCCTTGCGGAATTCGGACTCAGAACCTACCAGTCACTCTCGCGAGCGCCTAAACACTGAACCACCGAGCCGGTCGGCATCCAATGGTGTTAATTTCTAACTTCAATTAATCCACGAAATTGAGTGGTACATCCATCATTGTCTTTATTGAGTAACTATCTCACTACAGACCTGTTTGAACTCCACTGGTCACTGATTCTCACTAGGACTCCAGGATATACAACTTAAAGCCAGCCACTAGTGATACTGTGGTGCGCGCTACTTATATTGATATAAGTAGTATATGACGCAAGTTAAAGACGTAATGTCTGGCAGCAGAAGATGGGCGAAGATCAAGAAAGGAAGAGCGGGAACACAATGGAATTAGTATGAAAACGCATGAACAATGAAATGTCAGACAATCGATTGATGTTTGCAACGGGAACAGTCCAGTTTGATATGATGGATTGATATTTTGCAAATGAATGATTTACTATATGGTTCTCAGATTTCATTCAGATGCTCTTTAATTATCCCTAATGGATTTCTTGTTCACTACAACTATAATATCCACAAAAACCCCTTTCTAATATTAAATATAATAGTTGTGCTGTTAGTTTTTACCATGAAGAGGTTAAAAAAATTATGAAACAAAATGTTATGATTGTTTGAATTTCATTCGCTGATATCATTATTAATGACATCTTCTAGATACTCGGAGCTTCATTTATGTTAAACTATTCGTTTAAATATTGACGAATATTCATATTATTTGGTTTTTCTTGTTTCAGGATGTATTTGAAAGCTAATATGATCACCTCTTCAACGATAGTCAGCGCTAGTGATCACGTCATCTCTAATTTAGATTCAAGTTCGAACGTATCCACTGTTAGAGATAGTTTATTTTCCAGCATGTTATATCGTTACATGTTTAAATGGAAAATGTGTTAAAAATGTTATTTAGTCTTTTTATCTAACCATATCAAAAACGAAGATGTAAAATATTTAAATAAACAGTATAATAAAAATATATGCACCATTTAATAATAAAATTGAAGCCAAAAATAGGGTTAAACACAATTATAGACATTAATAAGGTAATCAAAAATAATGGGAAGTTAAAACTGTCAAAATTTTTATTTCAATCTTTCTCAACTATTATCTTCTATAAGTATAAAACAACTTTGTAAATGATCCATATAACTGGTAATGATTTCGAGAAATAAAATGATCTACATTTTATCAGATTAAAGATGCTTTAATTAGTCTTTTTAAAAAATTAAAATCAATTGAGTTCTAAGAAAACGTTTTATGTATCATATTAGCTCTCTTTTTCAACATTTTTAAAAG